TTCTGTCGGCGATAATCCTGCAACTGGTCTCCACACGTCCGTTGCTCCCCATCCTCATGGCTCTACCACCAACTCCACCTCAACTACAGATCACCTTGGGAGTTTTCGCGAAGAAATTTCTCAGTTGAATAGAGAAAACCAACGATTACAGTCGCTCTGTACAGACCTCCACGCCAAACATAGGCAAAGTAGCCTTAAGGTGTGCAGTGAGAAATTTCCCGCCTTGTTTTATATTTGCATTAGGTAGATGGTCGCGTGTTTTAATTCCCTTTCGATTTGTGTTCTGTGTTGAACTAGCCATTAAGATGGGGCTCTTCGGTGTTTGACCAACTCACCTTAGTAGTTGTGCTTACAAAAAACTTGCATTTTGCCACCTAACTCTTGTTCGATCCATGTACTGCATACCAAACTGTGCGCAAACTTGGGTGTAAGTTTCCTTCGGATCAGATATCTTGGTTCAGCTCTGACAGAGGAGTTCTGAACGTATCCGTAAGGAAAACAACCGTTAAATTTACCGATAAGGGTTGTTTCGCTTAAGTTTCAAAGGCTCCTTCAGATCAGCTCAAATCAAAGTGATGGACTGGTGAGGTCATGAACGTACCAATGTGAAAACCGTCGTGTGTTGCCTGTATCCACACATTTCAACCGTTGTGATTCTCGACGTTATGCAATGCAAAGTGGTAGCCGGTCATTCAATACAATCTGCACACCATCTATCGGATGTCTTTCCACAACGGGTGCTGTGTATTTTAATTTTGGGAAACAGCAAACTCTTGTAGTCGAGATGGATGAACAGCCTGCCTCTTTCGACTGGTGTATGAGATCTTTTAGATAAGAAGCGGTAAAGTGAGTTCGTTTGGTATGAATTGAACTCGGTCAATTGAATAGCCTATGTCGTGTTTCATCACACATACGCTTGATTGATATTCGGCTTGGGCTTTCCGTCACGATTAGCGCAGCTGCTCTGTTTACTCACTTGGCGAATTGACCATCGTGTTGATTGGTGGCATCACTATCTATCCTCGTTGAGCTGCTCATTTGCATCGTCGACAGCATAACATGGCTCGGAACATGTCCGAGCTACTGCAGTTGATGATGCTGGGTGTTTTCCGCGATCGAAGTACCTGCTACACAATCAAATTCACCAACGCCATCCGCTTCTGAGTCAAAGACCTGAAGACGCTTCAAATTATTTGTCCGCGGAGGCCATGTTTCGCAACCACACAACAATATAGCACGTAATTGGGCGAGATGGCTCAGTGGTTGGAGCGTGAATTTACTGACCGAAAGGTCCGTAGCTCGAACCCTACCTCCCCTTTCTACTTCCCACGCCTAGGCTTGGGCAATCTGGCAATGACCCAGCCCTCATGCTTTTTTCGGGTGGCATAGCAACTAGGCACTGAGAGGGTGCCATAGCTGAACAGCTCTTACTGTACCCTGGTACGCGCGACTGCTATAACCAGTGATATGCCTTTTTAACGCCACAAGTGACGCAAATTAGCGAGCGTCATTCTGACCTTTGAGATTTGCGCACTGACTTCACCAGACACACATTTGTGAGGGATATGTTCGTAGACTGCGCATTATGAAGCATGACTTTACACTTTGGAGTTGATAGGTGCATGCCGAACGATGGTATGATGGTGCTTGTGCTGCACCTCGCTCTTCAAAGACGAAAACGCTGTCGTCTGCGTACTCCAGATCGAAAATGTTGTCACCAGAAACATCTTGGATACCGGTGTTTTGATGACTAAAATTCGCGCCATTATTTCATCAACGACAAAGGTGAACAAGAGTGGAGAGAGTGGACATCCTTGTCGCATACCACTTTTTATAAGGAAGCTTTTGGAGAGCCCGCCATGCACTAACACGTCAAGAAGGGTTTGGA